TTCTTTTGTAAAAAAAAACTACTGACATCTTTTTATGTAATTGTATAAAGAGGCATTATTAAAAAAAAACAAGTTAAAATAAATCCACAACAAATTCATAAAATACAATTATACAATTGGAAATAATTATATAAAGAGTCGATTGCCATTCCCAAATTTTTACATTTATATCACAAAATATATCTATTTTATTCTAATTGAACATAAAAGATCTGATACGTTATATGGCGTTTCCATTTGTAATTTCGAAATCACTTTTGATGTAAAATATTTTTTAATAAATATTAAAAGGTTTGTAACTAAAAAAAAAAACATAATTTTCGGGAGTTCTGCATTTATCGTACGACTACGCGCGATCGTACGATAACTAAGCCTGAAATGTGCGGTATAAAAATGGACGATCAGATTATCTCGCTGCGAAATAAGCTACGTTCGACAGTTTATGGACACGACACCGTGAGCGTCGTAATCGATGAATATTAGCGGTCTCACTTACGGAGTAGCGATTATGCAAATCGCTGTTACACTCATGCGGTTAGAATAAAATCAAATAAAGAGTACTCCGTGTTCCCGTTATACATTTTGCGCTTCGTGGAATAAAAATAGCCCGGCTCTCGAGTGACTTAGCGAGTTTCGCGAAAAAAAAAATTGCGTGGGCATGTACAGAAAAATCCCAAACTCTCGTCTGACGTGGTATATACGCCTACGTTCGACGTAAAAAAATATCTCATCGCGAAAAAATATCTCGCGTTGTGTGACGGATCGCGGTGCTCGTTCCGATCGGCGCGGTAGTCGGAAACACCGCATCATTGACGGCGTGTCCTCCCGCGTGGTACCGCCGACGTATCACTCACGTTCGACAAACATACCTTTACAATGCAGTTTTCGAACAACAAATCTGATTTGTTAAATCTGCCTGAAACTTCAAAGCTTCAATTTTATACGACGAATACAAGTTTTGTAAACGGCAGATTTCGCAGCTGAATTCGCGAAGTACGCAAATACGAAATTAAGATTACTTCAGAAAAATCCGCGATGACGTTTGCGAGGAAGCACCTCAAGAAAATGGACACGTCCTGTCCTCGAGAACCGAGTTTCTACGGATCGAAGGGAGTTTATATGCCAATCATACGCTATTGTCACTCAACAATTCCGCCACCCTTATTGAACGCAGCCATTGTTACACTGGCATCCAGAGTATTCACTAGCGAACAAAGAGTAATTAGCTGCAACATGGCTGGCTATTTAGGCCGAGTTGGTGGCCACCATATTCATGAGGATGAGTAATGGTCGGTGCGCGCGTTGATTTGTCGCCCGGGGTTGACGAATTTCTACTTTAAAGATTCCTCCCTGTTGCGAGCGCGATCGCTTGTCTCAATCGATTTTCTTCGCGAATGCCATCAATAACCGATTACTCGCGAGACAGAATAAATTTCAAAGAACAAGCGAGACAAAAGATTACGCTTATTTTTAACTTTCACGTTTTACTTTATATCTCGTCTGTTTTATTCCACTTTAAGCAACGTTGCAACTGTTTATTCCAATTTTACGCCTTCACGCCATTCGAACTCTAATTTTATCGTTTTAAATAAAATTAATGAATACAACCAATTAAATATACAAAAGATTATACTTTTTATTACGTTTTTTTTTTCATGTCTCCTCTGTTTTATTTCACTTGAGACATGATAACCGATTATATCTAATTTTACGTGTTTTCTTTCACCATTAAAACTTTCTCGATTTTAATAACATAAAACAATAAATAAAATAAAATTAATTAAATAGACAATAATTAACTCATCTATACAGATAAATTATAGGGTAAACTCGGGTAAGATGGCCAACCTATGTTCTTTCAATCTAGCTCGCCATGAAACATCGAATGAACATGAGTTGGCCATCTTACCCGAGTTTACCCTAAAAATTCGAATCTTGTTTAAAAACATGGATGTCTATGCAATAATACAATTATATACTCTTTATGTGCTTTTCTTGTTTTATTTGTGCGTTTAATCTCTATCATTTAGTCATTTGGGTTTTTTATTGATTTAAGGCAAACGATTTAAAGTGCATGTAACTGCATTAAGATCTCTGCCTTGTGGCATGTCCACAGCTATGAGAAATGATTCGCCGTTCGACATGAACCCATCGTTTTTGTCATCTCGCGGCTTATGGCTGCTCGTTTTACCCATCGGTTCACGCGATTTTCTACAGACGATTTCGCGACATTATCAGCCTCGTCTCGTCCCTTTTTCCTTCGTAGCTCCTCTCCTCGATAAAATGTCCCGATGGTGACTCATCGATCACTTTGAGTCCGTCGCGAGTTTAAGAGAGACGTTTCCGACCACGTGTCGTCTCATCATGACGACACTTATTCGCTGACATTGATGTAAAGCACTCATGCCGATACCTCCTCTGCCAAAGTGCATCTTCGAATAACCGTACCTTGATGCACTTTGCGACGACTTTAAAACAGGTAATAATTTTTCTATTTCTAGCTGGTAGTTTATGCATATTATACCTAATAATATCTTGTATATTACAATTAATTTTAATTTGACCCTCATAATTTGAATGGCCTAACCATTTTAAATACCATTTTAAGGCTCCTGGGTAGTCACCGCGGCCATATTGAATTTCTTGCTATCGAGGCGAGAAATTACCCTATTTTATGTTGCGGTATTTTTCGAAATAAAAAGACATTTCAATAAAAAATCACTATAGATCGTTTCAGCACACTTCTAAAATTGACCGGATACTATCCTTTTCCCTAGACAATAAACAAACAGCCATAAAACGAAACCTAAACATACGGAAAAACAAGCCGTTTTCGACTATCGAAAGGAGTGGAGAATGCCTTCCGCATATGTATTTCTTGCAAATCTTACCATACGGTCAATTTTACGAGTTTCACGAATACGTTAAACGTTATAGCACAAGTACAGAGCGAATAATAAAGAAATTTAACGCAACGCAAAATAGGTTGTCAACATGTCACAAGACAGAATTCTCCATTGGAGAAAGTGAGAGGAGAGAGAGTTCTTATTTCTGCCGCGACGGTACGGCGCCACCGTCAACGCAGAGTTCGCGGCTCAGGGACCAGGAGCCTTAAATTCGATCCTTCAATTAGATATATTTTGTCCCGAGTACTTGAAATTGGGCACCGGCTATATAAAGCGGTCGTTACGTCAAACCTAACGCGAGAGTATATATAGAAACATTTTCCATCGCGGCAACGTCTTTTTACCGTTGGGCTATCAGAGCTAACAATAAGACTAATTTCCCGCCGTGGAACGGACTCGGCATCATCTTCTGCCTCGTCATCAAAGAGCTCAGAGATCGTGAATGTGCCGTCGACTTGGTCCGATTTGACACGTGCTTTCGTGCACGCGCGTTTCCCCGCGATATCACGCAACGCGCATAAATTACCTTCTCCGCACGCGGTCGGTGGGTCAATAACCCAACGAAACGCAATATCGAGACAAAACGTTTTTCTCTTTCCCCTTTTTTATATATAGACTCCCTTCCGCAGCCCCAATTGCTCGCGGAATATTTCGCGAAGATCCATGAATTCTCACACTCGCAAAAATATTACCGCATTCTACGAGTAAAAGTGATGGGTTCCTCCTTCAAACATTTCGTATCTATGTGGTCTAACTAAAAACGTAAAGAACATTGTGCACTAGCGAATTTATAGCAATACTTAGGTACTCGATAACAATTATTCGGAACGGTATGTTTTATTCTTGAAATAATATGTCGTACTTGACGACGAGAGGATGCTCTGTTTAAGCGAGGATTATAAGAGTAACACGAAATCTACATCGATTAATTTACAATCACGTAGATAATTATCCCTTTCATATTTACGCGTCCCATACGTGATTGTAGGTATAAATTAATCGGCGTAGATTTATCGTCACTTTTTTATCGTCCAGTTATTTGCAGAACTGTTTGTCCACGTCTCTGTGAAGGGCGAAATCAGAGAGCACCAAAACACAATACTGTTTGGAGGATAAACACTGATCCGAATAGCCATTACCGCGCAATATCCGATGAACTTGAAACCTTTGTTCCCGAGGGAAAAATTTCATCTACCGCATCGCGTCGCCCCAGAAAGAATCCGTCCTTGCGAAAAATGCAATTCGGAATAAATGCGCATTGTTTGTCCCTTCTAATTGCGCGATTGTGGATTTCGCGGAGCGATATAAATTCTTCGCTGCGTAATAAAACAACGATTCTCGCGCGCGGAGAATTCGTTATGGTTGAAAAATAACATCTCGGCAGAACAGTCGGCGAGAGAGACGCGCCACTTTAACATTATTGTATATACCAGTGAATTAAATCGCGCTCGATTTACCGGTTGCTCCGATAACGAGCAGCCCCGTCGGCGTCCCGTCATTTTTCGAACGAGTACTCTCCCCCTTCCCCTCCGCCCGCCTCCCGACGCAACACAATGTCGTAAATGATAAGTGCTTCGACTCTTCTCTCCGCGAAGTATATACCATTATGGTCTAGATTTCGTTCACCTCGCCTTTCTCCCGCGAAATTCGACCATGCTAAAAGACTCCCGTCTCTTTTCTTCGTTCCCTCTAACGTCAAATTCACCGGCTCCCACCATTTCCGAGAAACATTTCGCGATAGCCAACAAAAGAGTCGGGTCTTGTAGTTACAAAACTCGCTCTTTTCGAATATGTGAAGACATATATGCTTTTTCAAAAACGAGTTAATCACTCTCACTCTTTTCATATCACTCTCTTCTCTCCTTTCTTCTCTCTCCTTCTCATACATGCATTTTCTCTCGTTACATTCTCATTCACTCCCTCCTGCATACGATCCCTATCATTGCGATCCATTTCCTCCCTCGCACGCTTTTTCGCCCCTCGCACTCCCGTTCTCTTTCTCGCCTTTCTCTCTTTTATTCCCATTCGCTCGCCCTTTCTCTTTCCATTCTCTTATCGTTTTTCTTTTCTTTATTCTGGAAACGATACAGATACCCTCCATTATGCTTGAACTGCAGAAGCCGGGACAGTCGGCCGCGACGGGCGAGGCTCCGGGGATTGCCGCCCGCGATTCTGCCAACACAACAACAACAAGGCCGCTTCACGAGTCTAATTCCTAGGGCATCTAAGTTCACTAAGAGACTAACTTAGGAGAGACAATGGAACCGCCGGCGTTCTCGCACCGTGCGCGCTGAATCGACGCGCGCGGAACGCAAACCGGAAAGGATGAGATTCCAACCGCGAGCGGATTGTAAAGAGACACGGAAATTAATGGTTCAAATTGTTCAAGTAACGCTCGTACCTCGCTTATTTCGCAAATCAAACGTGTTTACAGCTGCATTCTCGCATGTCTTCCAAGGTGGACGTCGATTTTGCGAAACCCTGTACATGTTTCAACGACGACTTAACGACGCGACCATGAGAGACCTGCATGTTTGTCATCATCGACAGTGGCAAACGTGGCGATGCAGAAAATCAACGATAATGCATGGACAACTGCCGTTTCGTGACCGTTCAAAGTCGGACGGAGAGAAATCCACGTCGGCGGCGATGACAGCACGTGTGAAACAGGGCGATCGATCGTCAATCAATCAGCTTTGCTGATCTCGTTTCAACGCGATCGCGTTCGATCCGATCAAGCGTAGCGCGCGCGATAATACGGTAAAACACTAAGCGATGCGACACCATTTAAGCCCGATCGTACGTTGCATAATAGCACGTGACGTAATGGGCGCTTTGTCAATCGATTTAGCACCGATTAGCCGACGATTAATTTGTATAAGTTAATTCGAGGTGCCGATTATGTTACGGGCGACGTTAAATTACACGATATTATTATTGAAACGTGTTTCGCGTTCCGCATAGCGGTCGCGTACCGCTTGTGACGCGTCCAAACGCGCGTGAATTTAATGTTCCGCATTTTGCTTTCCACTCGATGTTCACTGAATGAAGGATTTTTTTTTTCTTTAATTCACTCAATGCTCGCGAAACTAGAGCCCACTTTACACGATCTATAATTCGCGTCACATTCAAGATAGAGCTCTATTTATAATTTTTGATGTGCCGTATATTTTTACATTTGTATGTAATTTAATATATATTTTATATACATGTGTGTGATATATATTTTATGTACATTTTTCAAATGTTTTTCGAATTAAGAACATAAATTTATGAACAGAATTCTATTCTGAATTCGAATCTGCATTCTGAACTGTAGATCGTCTAAATCAGGCTTACGGGAAGAGAACATGCTTTATCCATTGTAATCTTCAGAAATATATCTCTGTCGTTGCCATGATAATCCGTAATAAAATGAAAGTCTTTGACTTACGTAACGCCGCAACGTTTTGCGAAGCCAATCGAGGCTCGATTTTAGGACGCGTTAAATTTAGGATACGTCACATTAGTAACGCCTATTCTCGAATTCAACGCTCACGAAATTCAGGACGCTCCGATGGAGATACCGTTGCATAACGAATGACTTGCAACAATGACAGTCGGGTGTTCGTGTATCCTCCGTTTGCATCCAAATGGTATACGAGAATTTGAATCCGACTTACGCGAGATGGAAAGCGCGCTCGACCCCCGGTCTAGTGGGATCTCGCTCTCGGGGAGCTCTCGATACGCGCGGCGTGCACTGTTACGGGACACGTTCCAATAACGTGTATTGTATTTCCCGATGAATGTGACGCGCTTCCGAAAATACGCGAACCGACCAGGAAGCCGGGAAACGTGGAGGGGGGGGGGGGGGCAAAAGCGCGAACGTAATTATTGAGCCAATGGCGTTCTCTCGCGAGGCGTTAATTTCCCGTCGATATTGGAATGTTCGCGCGCATCGATTTATATTATATCGATTTCATTGAAATCAAAACGGATGTAACACGCTCGCTATGTCTGCGTGCAGAATAATTTGCTTACACAAAACCTCGAGGATAGACATCAACGTAAATAATTTGTTTCGACGGGTGACACTTGAAATTTTTCCTCTTTATAACATCTCTTTTTTTATCTACATCACACACAATTAAAATATTTATTGAAAATATTTATTGAAAATAATCTCTTGTAAATCAATTGTAAATCAACGATCGTCTGTTTCCGATTACTTTTTGTCTTACCCTTAAAATTTCTTTTTAACGACACTAATTTCGGTTTTAACTAACAACACGCAAGTTTTTCTTTTTTTTTTTTATAAGCACGCGAATTTTATTACGTGAATTTTATTGCGTAAATTTTTATTGCGCGGACAGCTTGATGGATCACGAGTCGCGCGACCCAAGAACGAATGTCGTAAAGTAAATAAAATTATGCATCGGCTACCTGTTGATCCGCGTCACAGCCTGAAGGAGCCATCAGTTTTTAGGGTGTCATAACGTCCGGTGCGAATGCAAACTGAACCCGAGCCTCATGCTGGCGTACACACCTGAGACTTCGAGATTGAACGAGGTGCACATATCAGAATCCGCCACATGTGCCAGCATCAACGTAAAAATCTATAAAGGGTTTAGCGAAGGGTTCGCCTACGTTTGGAGGAATTTTAGAAAATCAATCTTACAATTAGATGAGAAGAGAGGGCGCTTTCTTCTCTTAAGTTTCTCGAAAGATTAGACCATTTTTACGCGGAACAGTTCGATACGAGTACAATTACAAAGATAAAAGAATCGATATCGTTGTAGAAACATATAAAGGGTTGAATAATGTTATCCACTTTTGAAAAGATTGCAGTAACCTTAGAAAGTCAGATTTCGATTAATTCTTTCGTACTTCCCAAAAAACAAAATTAATCAAAGGATAACATCTCGTCCGATCATATCGTACGAAAAATAACGCGACACTCGGGAAACATGGTGGCGAAGTTTATTAACGGTAACTTTGTGAAGAAGAATTTCCGAGGTATATTTACTAGAACTTTATAACTAAAAATTACACAAAGTGATTCTTTATATACCAATCTTCTTTATCCGTAATTAATTAATGAATTATCCAGTTTCCATGTTCTTCTGCTGTACATTATTTATATTAACGTTTAAAAAGAATATTGCACGTACTCTTTAAATCGTACATCGCGTGATATTTCGATGCCTCATTAGCGATTTAATATGTATACCGGTGCTCTCGCCGATAATTCTCGGTCCGAGAGGCGAGCGAAGGTCCGGAAGAAGGCGCGACGTGCCGACGTTCCATTCTCTCTTAAGCTTCGTCGTGATGAAATCGGGCGCGCGTAAAAGCGCGAGAGGCACGCGCGCGCGGTGCGATAAAAAGGAAAGGGAAAAAAAGGAGAAAACGAAAGGGGGCAGCGGGGAGCGAAAGTAGTGTTGTACGTGTGTCGGTAGAGATTATATCACTCACTCGGCGTTGGTCTCCGGCGTGGGCAGGTCACCGATGGTCGTCAGCGTCAGGGTAGACCAATAAAGGGAGCCGAGATACTTCCTGGTCAGGGTGGCGTACTCGCCGGGCCGGTAGGGATACACCCAGTCGCCCTGGAAGCTCTCGGCCTCGCTCAGCAGGTAGTAAAAGCAGCCGAACCAGTGCGCCAGTATGAGCAGTATGTGAATAAGATTCAGCACGCGCCAGAGATTCGGATAGACCGTCCGCGACTCCACCATGTAGTAATAATTGTACACTCGGTAAATCTTGAGGAACCTGGGAAACCTCAGCATGGGATTGCTGCCGAGATTCACCTGGAGCAGATCGAGCGGCAGCAGCGCGAACAAATCCAGAACGAAGGACTTGGATTTGAGGTAGTGACCGGCGAGCTTCCGACTGTTGTAGACCATCAGGCCCTGCTCCAGGTAGCCGGTGCGAAACTGCACCGCCACGTCTAGGAAGAACACGGCGTCGGTGAAGCCGTCGCAAGCGAGCCAGGTGTTAGGCGCCAGCGCCTGCAGCTCCGGCAGACTCTGACGGACGATCAGCGTCCAAAGATTGTAGAGGACGCAGGCCGACAGCAGCATCAGCCAGTAATAATAGAAGTTCTCGTCGGGATTGACCACGGTCTTGGGCGGTTTTTGAGGCCTGCGGGGTCGCCTGCGGCGCCGGTTACCCGTCTCCTTGTCGTCTGTCGCGTCTCCCTCGCCCTCGGCGGTGTCGAGGGTCTCCTGGCTCTCCGGTATCTGCCTGGTGGAGAACCTCTTCAGGAACGAGTCCTCGCGCTTCAGTGGTGGCTTCTTCTGGATCGTGGAGATCGCCGAGGACAGCTGCACGGTCGTGCGCAGTTTCATCCACCGTTGATTGCTCTTCGTTCTGCGGACAGAAAGATAAATAGGTCGCCAGTCAAGGACGAAAGAGGAAACGGAGCGCGAATCCTGCGGATCTCTCCCACGCTCCGTCGGACCAGCCCCTGTCGATTTGGCTTTATCCGTAATATTTAATCCGTAAGCTTGAAAAATGTTCAAGCTTACGGTAAACGGACAAATGCGCATCCGATTGTGCGACTCGTTGCACCTTTAATCAAATTATTATGTTGCCTTTTATTCGACGTAAATAATGAAAAGATAAAGTTATTTTGTTTGCAGATAATTTATAGATAAAAAAATACTCTGTAAACCATGCTATAAAGGTAATCATCGAGTAATACGAAGGAGAACGTTACGACTGCCCCGGCTAAAGACATCAAATTTCTTGCGGGTAAGAAGAATAACTGCAATAATAAAACCACTAATTCCGCCGCGTACGCTCGTCAGGTTAAATGGAGGAGTCGTTTAAATGCATAAATTGCGGTATAAGTAAACATCAACGCTCGCGAAATCGTCCGCGAGAATGAAACGCTCTCGTAAACATTGTATATGTACATACGTAAGCACTCAATATTGGCGTTAATTTATTTTGTCCGCAGATAATTTATAGATAAGAAAATACTCTGTAAACCGTGCTATAAAGGTAATCATCGAGTAATACGAAGGAGAACGTTACGACTGCCCCGGCTAAAGTCATCTTAACTTTCTTGCGGGTAAGAGGAATAACTGCAATAATAAAACCACTAATTCCGCCGCGTACGCTCGTCGGGTTAAATGGAGTCGTTTAAATGCATAAATTGCGGTCTAAGTAAACATCAACGCTCGCGAAATCATCCGCGAGAATAAAACGCTCTCGTAAACATAATGGGTGCGTTCGGGAAGACGCTATTAGTGTTATTTGCTTATTCTATCCTTGTTTTACACCTGATGAGCGATAAAGATAGAATGATGCAATAGCGCTAATAGCACGCTTCCCGAACGCAGCCTATATGTACATACGTAAGCACTCGATATTGGCGTCATATCCGTCCGGAATATTTTTGATATACTTACTTGAGCGAGATGCGGAAAATAACGTATTTTTCTTGCCGAAAGGGAGGATTCGTTAAAATTATGCAAACTAAAAAAAAAGAGTTTGTACTGTTTAAATATCACTGTGCATCTTTCACATGCCGCGGCAAATTTACATCACGCGTTACTTTATTTGTTTTAATCGTATGCACTGACCTATGAATTATCGAGCAGCGCCTGCATGCGCGAAAAGATAAAGTTCAAACGTGATAAAGGGGGTTTTCAATGTGCGATATAAAATGCCGTTGAAGATATCTCTCCTATCGATCGAAATCTCGTCCCGCGACGATCCTATTGTTCCGCTGTTTCTCTGTCGCGCGGCAGAGGAACCGATAAGCACGGATTGTCGGCGTTCAATAAATAATCATGCGTTTCTCGCGTGTATCTACGGGTATTAAATGAGCCGCGTGATATACGAGTATCCTCCCGTAGGAACCGAGTACGTACTTTAAAGACTGATTTATCCAGACGGAAACAATCTGTTCCGATGACGCGCGTCGGATTTATGAAGGTAGGTAACGGATAAAATCATTTATCATCCGAATAAAGAGAATAGATCAATGAGGAAGTCAATATTTTCTGTTCTCCATATCCGTATTTTCTCCTCAAATATGACTTAAAAAATTATATTTTTATTCCCGTATATCATAACTTATTAATAAATATATTTCAGGACTTGCAAATTTTTATTTAGAAAAAATGCCAAAAACGCAATTTTACTTTTAACACTATTTTGTAAATGAAAATTTGAATGTGAATTAATCTATCGTTATAATTACGCTGCTTTTTAATTTACCTATCCATTCCCACAGCCAAGTACTTACTCCCCAATACATATTATATTTCCACTTTCATTATTTTCTGCAATGTTTTACAACTAAATAAGAATCGCAAATATATCGTTTGATAATTACGTATAATGTAAAAATTCTTCAAATTGAAAATAAGCATGAAAGTATCTATCCGATTGTAAATGAAGAGCAGATATAACAACGCAAACTACATGCCCGATCAATTTATCGAACTTTCAAGTCAATAGAGAGAATATTTTACACTTGATTTTACATCTCGCGCTCAGGAAAACTGATTAATTAGGAAATATTACGATTCTCTGAATCGAATCACTCTTAAAGAAGCATGCGATATGCTCCCGTGAACGCAGATTCGAGTCAACCGCGTCTATCATCGCAAACTGTTTGCGACTGATAGATACGATTAATCCGCTTGCGTGTTGAGGGATATACGACGATAAATTCGCGTATTCGCGATTCGGCGAGGCATGTCAGTTTCGCTTACCGTAGTCGTATCGCCATCACACGCGCGCATATCGCTTCGAAGGAAATACGATCGCACGACGCACAAACGTGACTTTTAATCGGGATTCCGCGTGACTGCGAAAGCCGCGTATGTATGCATGAGCTTCGTCGCGCGACGTCACACAGGAATCGCGCAGAAAATACATTACAAGATGCCTCGTTCAGCAGTCCTCGCTATGATCTATTTATCTAGTACACGAAGGTATATAAGTATATAGCCTACTGGTAGTTCCATTCTTCAAACCTAGTGAAATGGAAGGAACATATCATTCTCTTTTTTTTTTGTTCTTTTCAGGGAGATCGACTATACTCGTCGTACTCTCTAAGTTCTATGTAAGATATAGGTAGTTCTTGCTGGAAATAAGAAACGAGCGAGAATCGAGATCAGATCAGTTAGCTAGAGTATTAGATGGATAGGAGGCAGACAGACAGACAGACAGACAGACATACATACAACAGACGGACAGACAGACAGACAGATAGATAGACAAACAGAGACAGAGACACCGACAAATCGCATACGTTAGACAGAGACAATAACGGAACTAAAGATCGTTATTATGCCACTACGCATTCTTGAATCCTTAATGTAACATTTATGTACAGTGTTCTGTCGTTGATGTAAGTGTATGTTGTCGCGCATATTATGTAACACCCTGATCCTTTCAGATCTTTCTTTCTCTCTGCTATGACACACACAATCTATTTTTTTTTCTTTCTGTTAATTAGAACGTCAAGCATGTAAACGTGTTTGTTGGAAATATCAGCTAAATCTGAGCGATTTTTTTAAAGCGATTACTGTCGAGATAGAATAATCGTTTCGTTTATGGACATTTAACTGTCATCCGCGTGAAAAAATATCTCGAGAGGAAAGACTTCACGAGTATAGCGGATAAGTAATTTTCATCGATATTTACCGGTATTTACCGATAGCTTTCTATATATAGGAAAAAAGAAAATAAAATTAAAACATTCGAGATTTCGAGATGTAGACGAGAATTAAAAACTCGATACCAATGCTGGTAACGCGAAACGATTACCACGCGGGATAGCTCGTTCCAAATCGTACACATGATGCCAAGAAGAGAAATATTTCGATCCGCAACGTGAGATCAGTTGCTGGGCGGATATTAATTCAAGCGTATCGTATATCCTGTAGTCAATCGGATCGCGCCGATACAAAGCAAATGGAGAGCTGTGTTATCGATACATGCGTACGAATCAGAGCTAAATGCATGAGTGACAGGGTCGCGAGTTCACGAACTCCGCTTTTTCAACAATACAAACCGTTCGATTTCTCTTGCTATTAGAGATGCTCCTCGCGTCGCGCGTCGCTTGCAATAATTCCCGTTTATTAAAAATTAATATTAATGATTTATTAATCAGAAACTTGTGCGGTAACCGAGATACCTCGTTGTCCACGAGTAAGAGCATCCGCGAGGTAAAAGTTCGCGAATTTCACTTGCAAATTGCGAGCAAGCGGATCGTTGCTCAGTGAATAAAGCCGCTGAGCGGGCGATCAACGTCTAAGTTTGTGAGTTCATTATCAGCGTTTGAAATTACAAAGTGTCGCTGGATATCAGAGAACAGATGCAGCGGTCATCTGTCAGCTAATCTAATACAAAGTAGAACACGAGTCGTACAGTAATCTGAGGTAGTAGAGTAGGAGAGAGTGGAGAGTGGTAGGCGAAAGAGATAGGATAGAGTTGCAGTGACGAGCGAGTAGCCAGTACTTTCGTGCGGTTTCATGTCGAATGCAGAATGACGTTCACGAGGTAAAACGATCGGATCGACAATCGAGCCCCTTTACCCAAGACTTTGCCCGAGACTGTCATTTTAACATCAACACTGATGTACTTTAAAACAATATTAAATTGTAAATTGTAAATTCGAAACCGTAAGTCGATAATCGTCTAAAGTTACATACGAAAATGTACCATCACTCGTAACTTTATTCGATTGTATTTTATAACACTGATGCAAGTAGTATATAACATTTTGTCACGCTCTGAAATGTGTAACAAACATTTGCATTTTTAGAAAAACATTTTTGGATTTCAGATTTCCTCATGTCGCTTTACGAGACTGTCACCTTGTTACTAATTTTATCTACCTGAATTGGCCTTTTTCGTGAATTCTTTAAACGTACATACAAAGCCGATAATCTCGTACTCAAACCCACACCATTGCCCTCGAATTTAATATAGCGACGTTTCATTTTCCATACAAACTTTATTGCAGTTCGTACATTTATTTAGCGCAAGTCCCGTGCCTTCGTAATTTTTTTACGTTCCTTCGTTTTACATCGGTGATCAGCCGTGGTATCGTGTGGATGTGGAAACAATATTAGATCAGAGTTTCTACGTGCGCGCGTCGAGAGACATTCTTGAATAATTCACTCGGTGTTGAAAATCCGCGAAATGCTTTTAAAACTCGTCTCGGGGGCCAGAGCGTAGCCCTAAAAATCCGAATTCCTCGGAGTATTCCAATAGATTTGAAAATCTATCGTGTACACGGGATGAATAATTGACAAGATGCAAACGCCGGCGCGCGCTACAAGATCTCCAATACTTTCAACAAAAACCGCTCCCGAGAATCCTGAGACGTTTCAAAGCCACGTGTATACTGTAAACTAGCAACATTTTCTAGGAAACTAGGAAATTCCGCAGACAGTGATTTTAAATAACCCCGTACAATTACTAGAAAAAATTTATAAAAAAATATATAAAATAATAATCGTAGAATATCAAATATCAATTAATACGATACAATTGCGTCATTTATTCCTAAAAATTAATCTATAAAATTTACTTCTTTAGAATCTCCTCGATCATATTGCTTATTAATTAATTACTTAACTAATCTCGAATTAAAGTCTCGTTAAAAAAGAATTATTGCGTTACGGAAAATTGTCATATTGGATGAAGAACAGTACGAGACGTGTACGAGACAAACGCCTTCAAAAATGAAGTTCCAAAAGCATACACATATAGGAGTTGACTACAAGTGAATGCTTCAAGGCACCGAGTTCCCAACACAATTCATGAAAGTTTTGCGCGTATGCGTGTGTGTGTATCAGTGTGTTAATGTGTCTTGTGTGCGAATGACAGTGCCAGAGGTTTACCGTCCATATCGACTAATGGCGGGAGTACCTCTTGATTTTGCGTAGAGAGGAATATAACGCCATGACCGCGCGTACGTTACTCCATTTTTGCGAGCCCCTCGTGCTACGAGGCCTCCTGGATGCGGCGGGTATCTCTGTATCGAGGGCGTAGCTCTCCAGCGATTCCGAAGTGGTCGAGGTGGCGGCGGCGAGTCCAGCACCGGCCGACCTGCTCGCTGAGGCTTGTCGATGACCCGAGATAGCGTGTCGTCGACGGTAGATCTCCAATGACCTGCGAAGAAGACACAGAACCCACACGGGTTGCCTCTCCCTCCCGCACACCCTCTTTCTCACTGTCTCTATCCCTCGCGCACGTATACACACACACGCATACACATTCTCGCGATCTCGTTCGTGCCTCCTCTCTCATACCCTGCTCTAGCGTGCTTCTCCTTTTCCTCTTTCGCACTTCCTTGATCTGACCCAGGATACACTCGCCTTAGGATGCGTTATGTATGAGCGAATGATACAACATTCGCTCCGGGCAAGATGGTTTCTTTTAATGTCGCCATGATTTCTTAACGCAAATCTGTACTACGTGGAACACGTCTGTTAGTTTTCCCCGGGTCCCGAGGGGGTACTCTGCGCGTATAGCGTGTGTTGTGGATAAATATTAATTTTAAAAATACTAAGAGGTCAACTCGCAATAACTGTTCCTAGCGCGAAAAAAGAGAAAAAGAAGAAAGAAAGGTAGCCTCGAATATAAATTCTTTTGAAGTTTACTGAAAATCAGAGCAGATCTCCTCGGAAAAATCAACGTTCCGACAAACTTCCGAGTTCCTCGTTCCAAGTTGAAACAGGGGATGAGCTATTAATGCTTCGTATTTATGTAAGACGCGAATCGTATATGTCGTAAACGTATTTCTCTTAACAATGATTAATTCCCGATGCAACGTGACTTGATTCCCAAGCCGCACGTTATTCTCGAACCATGCTCGATAACACGTTTGCGAGGTGCTTACAGCTAACAGTGGTTTCGCAAAAATAAAAAGCTTTACTCACATCACGAGAAACGATCTCGCACGAAAGTAACGCAATATACAGTTATGATCTCTAACATGTATCATTGAGAACGTGAACAAGTTTCATCATTCATGTCTTCTCTCTCTCTCTCTCTCTCTCTCTCTCTCTCTCTCTCTCTCTCTCTTTCTCCAAGTCAATCTCGTGTTCTCTCAGACAGGCGCAATCACATGCAATCCTTCATCCTTTCCTTTCCCGTGTCCGTCTGCCCATCTCCATATCACATCGTGAAAAACGAGTTCTCCGCTGAAAACTCGTCGGCTGATGCGACGTGACGCTAAATTCATTTGTCCCCTCACCCTCTTTCAGCCATAAAAAAAAGTGTTACCGTTCCCAACGACAGAAGTTCGGCGCCACGGCATATCGCGGCATTAATTGATGTGATGCGTGAATTCGATAACGCCGGCAGTTTGCGAGTGCGATTTACCACTATGACGGGAGATTGCGGGGTCACGACTGCGGCAGAATCGCTGCCGTTTCCAGAGAGACGGCGAGGGGTGCGAGCGGCCTGGGAAAATAGAAATCCGGTGCCGCGAAATTCGGGGATAGTGGATCCCGGATCCGCGCTGAATAAATAAAGGCGGAACTTGCTGATTGTACGCCATGTTTGCGCGAGTCGTCACGCGTGTTGAGAAGTCACAGGGAAAAAAAAGAAACGAAGGAAGGAAAAAGGAAACAGACACGACGGGACAGACGGGCGAGCAACGAGGCGCGCGAGTCGGACGCAAAACTTCGACTTGGAAATTAGTTGCATCGCTTCATCCAATTATTCTGCGCGGAAATTTTAATACCACTTTAATATTACAACACAAAACACAGGCTTCTCTCTCCTCCTTTCTTGGTAAATTCGATGCGCATGATGAAGCAAGATATTTACTGTGGTCATTTCGTTCTGAACGTTATTATTCTATTATTTCTGCTACTGATTACTAATCTGAGGACTCATAAAGTATAATAGTGCAATCTGTTTTTCTTTCATAAGAACTTAAAGAGAAAGGAGAGAGATATTAATCCATATTTAATTTTAATTGACATTAGTCGCGTTAAAATAATGACAGTATATTTATCCGGTTTTTACTTTGACAATTATACGCAAAAAATATGCTCGCACATCTTCCGCTTCGTGCTTGCCATTTCTTTCAACGTCCCTTCAGATTTTTCCGTAATGATTATCATGATAAAATGGTGATGCATTTGAAAGGGATGCACGAGAAATTCGTACAAAGCAGGGGAAGAGTTATCGCTGAAAAGTCATACTTGACTTCAAGCGTGTCCTGCTGCCGCGGCCGTCGCGTCTGGCATATGCTCTGATCTGTGACGTTAGTCTGCAGCTAGGAGCCTTTCCGAAACGTTTGATCAAAGTTTCGGCGCATACAGGAGCAGTCGAGCCAAGAACTTTCGACTAGATACCCTAGCAAAAGATATATTCGGTACATCATATATACTTTCGGCGAAGTCTAAGACACTACTGAGAGAAAACGATTACTTATTCCACGACTGCTCGCCTACTTTAAAATGACTGACCCACTTAACTTAATTCTTAAGTTCTTCCTCATCCTTACAAAACTCGCGATATTACTTCGGCTCTCTGTCAAGAGAAAACTGTTTTACGTTTAATACGTACTTGTATGTTCCATTAGCGCGTCGCTGCTGAGATGTTGCTTTATTGACTTTATCAACGACTCTAACTTTTCGATAGCGTCGCAAAGGAGAATTCGCGACGAGTACAATAAACGAATAATCCAACGTTCTTCCGCTCGATTTCCTGTACGCGCGTAACTGGTATAAAAAATTCTTTCGAGATACAATCATTCCAAGTCGCTAGATATACAGGTCGATTTTCAGCTTACGTTCTCACCCAAATTGCTCCTTTGTGGGAGAGTGCTTACTTGTATCGCGACCAAGCACGCGAAATTTCTTTGTGCGCTCGAATTAATGTAGAAACGGGTGAAGCTGAATTCGCTTTTCGCTACCGTATCCATTAAATCTAAAGCTAACGCGAGTCCCGCATGCACGGTCGCGTTCAACCGCAATGTTCGTCATTCCTAGAGCGTAGCTGGAAAAAATATAATCGAATTAATGATACGACAATCTCGTGTTTCCTTCAATCGTCCGAGAGCCGGTCGACGTCTTCTGAAAAGAAAATATTCAGTCTTTTCTATATCGACCTCGTAATTCTTGCGGCAATAAAAAATTCTTCAAATAACTCTTCACTTATTTCTTCATTATTTAAAGCGGTACAATAGATTATTATAAATATTAAATTATAGATTTTATTCGGGAACATTCATAGATCACTTTGCGAAACAGATCAATCAATATAAAAGATTTTTCGTGCCTTTTTGCAAAAATATCTTATATAACTTTAATATTAGTAATTTTTGTAATATCTACGCTTCAACGGATTAAAAGCCTATCATAAATTTAACGGATGTTATCTAAAGTTTCAGAATTCAGCCTGGATGGAACTTGAACTTCCATTTTATTTATGTCCTCCCCTAAGAAGGAGGGTAGGTATCAGGTTTCGAGATGAAAAATATCGTATCTGTGTGTGTGTGTGTATGTGTGTGTTTATCCACATATAATATATTAAGAAAACACCAGGATAGCTATCTCATCGCACACGAAATTCCGGTCCTGATTGTTGAGTGTTTGCTTCTCGCTGGTTTCTGGGGAAATCGCGGAATGAAGGTATCTGCGATGTAATGGGAAAAACGAGAAAGCAAGAAGACACGTTGAATTTTCGCTCGTTTGCTTCTGCCGCGCCATCGTATCGTACTACATTAACAACATCGTGATGGTGTTAATGAATAACTTTATCTATTTAACGCTTTAATATTTCCACCTTAAATATTACATACATCGGTAAATTGAAATACTCTTTTGCGGAATTGGTTGAGAAAAAGCATGAAACGGATAATCTGAGATCCTATTTGAGTTGTAGTTATTTAATTGCTGAGAGTTGAGGTATATCACAAATTTCTATAATACGAAAAATAATCATGATATTATCGAATAACTCGAGAGAAAATTGAAAACGTTCTCGTTCGAGCCGCGGTTATTCAATTGTAATTGCTGAAAATCGAGAAATGAGGGTGGCAGAGGTGAGAGACATCTTTAAAAACTAGAAATAATAGTCCAGTTCGTGATATTTTCCAGCGGAACCGAGATAGCGTCGACGTAGCAATGAACTCCGTTATATTCGTTCTTAACATGTCGGGAAATGAGGAATTTTCTATGTAAATATGACACGTTTGCCAGATGCTCGTAAAAGGCTGCTTTGTCGAGAATGATTGTACGACTTCAGAATATAGTGCTTATTTTAGTTTTAGAATAAAGTAACACGGCTCTGTTTCTCCACTTCAGAGGCACAAAGCATAATTTTCAAAATAAATTTTACATACTTAAACTCAAAAAAGAACTTGTTTTATCAGAGAATTATAAAAATTAAGGCGTAAAAAGAAAGTATAACGTGAAAGACAGTAATAAATAAGAACTGATAAATTTTTCTTTCAACATTGATATTCTTATGATGAATATGAGTAAAGGAAGGAAAATACGACAGTTTAATATTTAAAATAAAGAACATGTGATCATTTAAAAAAATGCACAATATTGTATCAGAAAGTTAAAAACGGTAATATAATACATTCACCGCTCTGAAAATTTTCGCTTTAACGAAAAGATTTATGTGGAACGCGTGATGAAGCATTTACGCTGCAGATTGACGATGAAAAAAATACTCAACGATGTTCATCACTTGGATCTCGAATATCGCAAAACCCGTACACGTTTCTCCCAATGAACTTTCCGCGATTATGGTAGAGTACGGGTGATCACGTAATCTAACGAGTGCTTGGATTTTGATTAAAAAATCACGGCCGACATGCTCTTCACGTTCTTTCAGACGGAAAATGTACGAACAGCATTTGCAGTGAGATAGTTACATAGTTTACTTGAGATGCACGAGTGCTCTTGACTTAGTCTCCACGCTTCAATTAAAAAGTAAATAACTTCGAACCGTGGTTTCATATGATAATTGGAACGGTCGCAGTGTGATGCGAATCTAACGAATTCAATGATTTTCCAGAACGTCGTAGAGTTCCATGAGCGACTCGAGAAATGCAGTACCTAATATTTAAAATACGTTAATAAAAAAAATGTAAGAGATATTTTGTGGCTTAAAAGAGAACAAAAGAGTTGTACACTTTGGAGTTAAGCTCTATCATTATCGCGCGAATCTCTGCTTCAATCTCTTTATCGAAGCTTTTCCTCGTTGAATTACGTGTTGCCCCGAGGAAAGAATCCGGTCTCGCGATAAAGAAGAACGCTTGTTTCACTCGATATCTCCGCGAGGAGCGATATTACGGTGCTCGCCGCGATCGGGCGCGACAAGGAAATATTGCCTCGAGACATAATTCCGAGCCGGAAGAAAATCTCTCACGTTTTGCATCCAAGCGAAAATGAGTCGCGTCTCAGCCCCCATCGAACGCGAGAACTGTAATTGGCTCGAGAGTAATAATCCACGCTGGGAGACCGCCGCGCGCCGGATCGACGTTATTAGAGCCGCACTAACGTCGTTAGAGCAAACTTGGTCAGCGCATCGAAAAACGTTATCATGTTGTGGGATTCTCCAGTATATAAACAGCGTATAATTCTTCGTATGTCTCAGTTTTGCCCTCCTAGTTAATTATGAAATCAGTTCAAAGTTAATACTACGAAAGGCTAAAGTCGAACTTATAATTAGTCGAATTTGACTTAGTTTCTCAACATTTTAATTCAGGATTTTACAGATGTATCACTCGGAAACTCTCAAAATAAAAAAATTTAGAAATTACATTAATGTTTATACTACCATTCCGATCTTTGAAATTAATTGTAAGATTATTGTATTATCAATTCAATTTTTTCCACGTATTTCCAAGTAACGTTAAGATATCTAAAAGACTGATCTCGCAATTTTAAGATTTTTTTCTTATGGATTTATTAAACGCGATATCCAGTTACACGACGTTCTTTGCCCGCCATGATTGATGAAGCAAGCTGAAAAGCTTTTCCGCAAAATTTCACCCTATTCGGATTTGCCGGATTATATTTTCTCGTGCTTACTTACGCGCAAGATTTCACCGAGTTATCATTCCCATTATCGCTTCGCCGTGAAACGAGCGTTGCCCGAGATAGACCATATCTTGGAAAAGCTTCGACGCGATCAACCGAGTGTATAAGAAGGAGATTAAGCCTCGCCTCGGTCCTCTCGAACTTCGAGAGCGAACTTTAATGGGGGCCGGAGCAATCGAGAGTTTAAACATTTTGCAAGAGGAAGGGTGAATTTTGAGAGATCACGATGAACCTTAAACTTCTCTTTCATTTTGCTTTAATATACGTCGACATATTTTTCATCTAATTAGCGTAAAATTCGTACGAGAAAAATTTCTCATTCGACACGGCGTTCATGAACTTTTTGAGGAAAAACATTAAAAAAAAAATAAAAAATTCTTCTTTAAAAAATAGGGAATAGAGGTTCTCTAAAAGAAAGTATAAAATTAAAAAAATTAATTGAACTAATAAAATTAAAAAAATTAATTGAATGAATAAATATATTAATAAGAATAAAAAATAATACGACAAAATTAGTATGATTAACTCTTTGTGACCAAAAACATTATGCCATACTCTATATCAACTCAGTCTCTCGTTAATTCAGTCGCATTTCGCGTGCACATAATTCCTTTAATTTATACTACTATAATCAGATAATGCGCGCATGTATTACATACAAATATGTATATCTACGTTTTCCATTACATTACGTAAAATATGAATGATTTAAATGAGTATACGACTCATTCAAAATGAAACACGTCATTTAATACGCATGACCACAAAAGCCATTGAAGTTCCAATTTGCATTAACAAAATCAGCATAACAAAGTCATTTATGCTGATACCAAAAAGTTTATGCTATTTAGTAATCTGCAATGCAATGTGAAAAATGTTCTGTCTTCCGTAACGCTTCACTTTTCCGTAACATTCTCGATTCTTTTCACGTTACTGAGCTTTTGAAAGAGAGACTTTTGAAGACACAAATTTTGAAAAATTAAAAATATATTCCACGTTTTCGATCACCGTTCTGTAGCCCTATCAATTTCAATTAATATTTTCCCCCTCAATATATTCTGATATCAGATAATTGTGTTACGTGCCACTTGCACGATCAGGGGTAAAAAAAAGAAAGTCATTATTTGTGACAAACACAATCAGTTGAAGCAAAGTATACAGACTGTATACACAGTAAATATTTCACATTGGGAATTAGTGTGATCGTCGGATGAGCGTGTGATTACGAGGGTGAAATACTACGTATGTTTAAATGTTTGAAACGCGAGAGGATGGCTCTCACTCGCAAATTCATCACCGCCCGATTAAAGTCCCATCTATTACGATCGCGAAATGTTCCGCCTGAAATTTACCGCGGCGTATTGAAAGCGCATTTTCGATGCATGTGACGTGGGCGTGTTGCCGAAACGCGTTGCGAAAATCGAATAATGAGGACGCGCCATCACTATTAGCTTTAAAGCGATTTGAGTTACTGCAATTTGCGTTGTAAAGAGTATTTTGTGAATCGATAGTTTCATGATGTTACTTTGCGAACATAACTTACCGCAATTACCAATTACAGAGAGACGATAATTAATAAACGCTTCGTTTAAATTAATTGAGAACGCGCGAGATTTCGCTTTACTAATATCGACAGCTATTAGTAAAAGTTGTTATCCGGCTGCGATACATTGATATTTTACGTTTCGCTGTCTCGGTATAACAAATAAACAGGAAAAAATAATACGGCGAGAATTTGTTAAATATTCGAAATGTTTCGATCAAGTATACTACGCATCAAAAAACAAGATAGATTTTCATTATTTAACACACGACATTTGCAGCTTTGATCACTACGATTCCGAATTGAAGCGTAAAACAGGATATCAATCCCGAATATCTGCGAACCTTTCACAGATGTAAACTTTGTCGAAAGCTTTTGACGTGTGTTATAACATTTGCATGACATTACGTTAAAAAAAACCTCATGATTAAAAGAGCCATAAACAGGATTTTAAACCGTCGTATCGTTTTAAATGGGAGATTTTATTTTTTTTTATCGACTAAAGCAGCTGAAGTAAAATATTTATTAAAATAACAAGTTTATGGAGTCTATATCGTATATCGCTATATTACTAGGTTGCATTTATCGTTAGATATTGGATATTAATGCACGTTGAAAGCAAAATCGTTAGCGGCATTAAAGCACTCTCACCACGAGCGAGATCAAACGCAGACCAAGTATCGAATGAAATTTTCAAAGTATTGCAGTCGGCACGAGACGTCGCAGAAAATGCGCCACAGCCGCAATTGACTATCGTCAACGATCACGATAGAATTCGCGAGACGCTCGAAACAAAGTACGACGAAATTCAGCGAGTTTCTCCAGATTTCGGGTTTCGCGCAAATTATCTCGTCTTCAAATCTGACAATGAGCCGACGCGACACGCGTACTGTGAAGAGACAGATCTGTTCCGAGATTATACAGCATGTTGCTGTTAAGTGTTAACTGGAACGACCGTCGCTCTTTTCTGAGTAAAGAGAAGAAAATGTCGAGGAAAATGGCTAAAAGAGAATCTTGTATGTGGTTCAGCGTTATCTAATTTCCTGCCCCTATCTTCTCCGCAGAAATGCATCTACAATTTTTTTTTTTGCCATTTCTCTCCTCATAGTTCAGCTGCGTAAAAAGCAGCAGCAGCAGCAGCAGCAGCGGTTCGTCTCAAATTTCTAAAACCTCCCTATATACGCGAGCACACATCAAAAGTATACCTATAGAAATTAATCGAATCACATTGATTGAACATCTAAATCACTGCGGCTGATTGATACACTTAAATTAGTATGCAATTAATTAATTGCACAAAGGGATAAGAAATATAGAGTATTTTTCTGTGTTAATGAGAAATATAAAGTATAATAGTTATCTCTAAGCAAATATGTACACATATAAAAGCAAATTTCCGTGTTTCTCTCAATCGCGTTTCTTAAATGCAAGCGATTAATAATCGATATTCTCCGTGCAACGTGTGCGTTATGCATTTCTCAATTATGTCATTATATTTCAATTTCGACAATTTCAATGCAGCTACATTTTTATCTACAAAGAAGATAAAAATGTTATTAAACGAAGCATATTAAACGAAGCAGTTGTATTTATTCCATAAACTTTGATCTCATGCCGAATTGCATGATGTGCAGAATATAATTACAAGTTTAATCGTATGTAACAGAGAACACACTAGCGAGTTCATGTTTAATGAGCTTAACGTTAAATTGTTAACCGATATATGTCGGACGCGGAAATAGCATTCGTAACAAAGTGTAGGAAAGGACAATCGTTAGTTTCCGCACTAGCAATCTTTTAATTGCAGCCATTTTAATCTGCGTTTACGTATTTACGTTACTTAATCAGAAATTTTGATACATAAATTTAATCTGAATAATATGTAATTCAATCTACATAATACAATAAAATACGACATATTTTAACTTTATCAATTATATATATCTTAAATAAACAAATATATAAATTTAGTTTAATCTAAAGAATTTTAATTTTCGAATGTGAAGCATGAAAATCTGCTCGTATATATCAAGAACCATAAAAACGGGTCGAAAAACTGGTCAGTAGCGCGAATCCGTCTTTCGATCTACGTATTATCGCGCGTGACAAAATGCCAAGAATTAAAATCAGGATAATCACAAATGACCGGGATGCAAGAGTGTGTCGAGAATCGACTAACCTCGATCCTCCGTGGCCATTAGTTGGCCTACCGCTGCTCTCGTCGTCCTCGTCGTCCTCGTCGTCCCTTGAGGTAGCCAGTGACTGGGGAACTGATGAGGGAGCGCTGCTACCGGAATCGGGCCCAGGGCCCATCCTCGAACCGGAAGCACCACTACAAGACGGCACCAGACCACCCTCTCCCTGCCCTTCTTCCTTCTCCGCCCGATCCACCTGCAATCATAACCATCCGAATTTGTTTAAATATCGTCACGTGCACTTGATGTAAATCGACGCTGATTGCGGACAGACAATCGATTTAATTTCCTTTTTCTTTGTTTGAATAAGTTATTTAAATTTGTACTTTGTGTAAACTTAATTAAAACAGAAATTTTAGTTCAATGTTAAATAATATCAAATTCTATTTAATCAGCCCGTTAGAATATCGAGCAAAGGCATTATAAACTTTCAAACTTTCGACGCGCGCAAACCAATGATATGCAATCGCGTGACATTTCGTGCATCTAAAATGCGGCAAGAACGCGGCGAACTTTTTCACCATGTCGCTCACAGATATCGAAAGATCATTGGCTTAGTAACACAAAAGATCATACATAATAAATGCAAATGCCAGCATTCAATAACATGCGATATTTGATCATAAAGCCAGAAAGGATTACCATTTAAAAGAGAATTGTTTTCGCGCCTTCCGGCGTTTTACAATACGAAAATGGCTAGACCAGGAAGCATATCGTTAATAATACTACAATGCTCTGCTTCAATATCATGAAAGACTTTAACAAAATTTTTATTTGAAGCATTTCGTACTTCAATGTATCGTGCACTTAAATCGATATCCTATTCCGCTGTGTTGAAGGACCATCACGTGCCCAGGAGATCATCAAGCCGTATCCAGACCAAACAATAAGCGCGAACAAATACGAATAAACAACTTGCTTCAATGAGTGCAAACGCGCGGATGGCGTACACACTCAAAGATTGTTCGCGCTCGTTTACTCAGGCTGGACTTCCAATCACTGATCGAATGCTCTCGTTTTTCGCCTTGTGACCGATCATGCGTGCACGAAAAACCTCAACGATCAGCGATCTCCGATCTCTCGGTATTTCGAAAACAAAACGGAATGTCATATATGATCAGAACGAATTAAGTTGCCGAAATCCTAAGCTTTGCGATTTCCGGCTGGTTTTCGGCACGTAGCCACTGAAGATCGATACAGGAATCATGGCATTGCGACCAGGAATTTCCGGTCGGAAATCGTAAAGCTACATGGGTTGCCTGGTCGAGAGAGTGGAAAACAGAATACGTATAACGTAATCTACTTATTGTACCGGATACCACACATACTTTTAATTAGCTCTGACAGAGAATTGTAGCAAGAAAACAGAAAGCAAAACAAAATTGGGTCGCGCGTATATAGAGAGTGCTTCTACAATAAATCTAAACTTGGAATCGTATTCTCTGGCTAATTTAAAGTCATCAGTTTTTGTTAGCAAAAGGTACAGGTACATCAGGATGTCACCACTTTTGCATTTTTCATAATGTTTTAACTTTTTTAAATGAAATATCTTGGCAGATCTCAAATTAAAATTCTGTCAAAGTATGATTTAATTTAAAAATTCATTTTTCTTAATTAAAAAAATGTCTGTTAATACATGAAATAAAATAAAAAATGTCGCTCTTATTTGTCTATTGAAACTCAATTTACAAAAGGTTTTGTAATTTCGATAGTTCTAAAGCTATACATGCACCTTAATATTTTCATTAAGAACGGATTTTCAACTTTGTTACATAATTTCTCTGTTATAATTAAGATCACAAGTTGCGAAACATCCTGTATTTCGCAGTTCCATGTGAGCGAAAGAAAATGCGTAATTGCATGACAAAGGACGCGAAAGTTGTTTACATCCAAAGCTGAAAGCAATGCAAAATGCACTCGTAAACTCGTCGCCAGAGATTATAAACTTTAATTAACGAGATGTTATATTGTCTAGCGTTTAATAAACGGATGCTCTTTTGTTAACTAGTAAATTCCACAACAATTTTTCTCAATTTTTGATCTTACAATAATATATGTGTGTATATACAATATATAATATATACATATATATTTTAGTATATCTGCTTATTAAAGGATATCTTTAATATTCCTATAATTTATATTTTATGTTTTTAGGATTTTCATATTTTCTAATAATTAATATTCTAATTTGTACCAATAAATTGTGTTCACAAGTAAGTACATTTTCCAACATTCGTAAATTTTCCAACCACGCACATAATCAGACCTATATACACACAGTTGAGAAATAGATTTATCTCTCAATACCACTGCGGTTGGTTAGAACCTACGTTTCGTTTTAGGATCCTCCTCGCGGTTAGATCCCTCTGTTTAGTTACGGTTCTCAGTTCAAAGCCGTAGCAGCTTAACTAACTGACCGAGATGGAAAATACACTGCGTCTCTCTGAGAAAATGTATTATTTGCTGCAATTCGGCGAAGTATTTTTTGAAATATGATAGATAATATATTTACAGGAAATAAAAACTACTGTTTTTACGGATATTCCCTCTTTGGCTATATTTTAAACGTTTTTCCTTCCAAAGTGCACGTTGTTATTCGCGAAAGTGCCTGATTACATTGCAATTTTTTCCTCTCTTCTCCGCTAATGTACGTTTTTATTTTTCACAAACGCGGACATGTCGGACGCGTTAAAACACGAATTATCCGTTTGTATATTCGAAAGAATTATGCGCACGAGAAGTGTTTAATGTGACGAAAGAAAAGTGATACGCGGATGAATTCCCCTGGTATATGATATCTGTGTATATGAGTCCAACAAACAAGCACAAAACATATATAGTATATATATATAGGACACAAATATATACATATATATGAATAAGAGAGAGAGAGAGAGAGTTCGCAAAAAATATATATATAATATATACTATACATATATAAACCTGTGCAGCACTGCTGCAGCTGTCAGTGATGCTGCAGCCATTCCGATCTACATATTCGCTTGAATTTTACCGGAGCGCGCATACAAAGACGCACATGCCCGTATATTTCATTTTATTTCAAATTCAGATATATCGGCTATTCAGGTGTCAGAGCCATATTAAATAAAACTGCTAAACAGCTCGTTCGTTCTCACTTCGTTTCTTTCGGACATATAGAAACGGCCAACATCGAATAATATTCATTTCGAAGGGCAAATAAAAGTTAAATGGAACTCACGGCCGGGGTATCGTCGCTTTTATCGGCAACGAAATATCTCGCGCTCGTAGCATTTACGTTATCGCATTACGGGCAGTCTCGAAACCAAAGTTACGGCCGTAAAACGATGGTCGTAGCGTCGTAACGTGATAGTAAAGATCGGTTCGGCGATTCGATGTATGTACGTTCGCTAAAATGTACAATATAACGTATTCAATATAACGTGTATAACATAACGCAATGCGGAGCGTAATGTAATCGTGCAAGTTTTGTGGACGGCGTAGCCTCACAATCGACACTCACGGTGCTATTTGTCTTGAAAACGTGCGAAACGACGATGCTGGGAGAAAGGAGAACTGACAGACAACACGTCTCTGCGATTGCACGCGGTGGTTGATATAATAGTCAGCCAATATGGACGCGTGTCCCGAATTGGACATGGTGCCATTGTTCTCCGCTCTTGTTCCAAGTACAGAGCTTAACGGTGCTCGGATAATAATAATACCTTTGTGCTAAAACACAGCCCTTTCGAATGTAATACTTCCCCGTGTCACCTACATCATTATAGTTGCCCGCTGTGTAAAGCACTATACTGCGTAAATCCTGTTAACAGCGTTCGTGATATAAACTGCGTTATTTTCTTCAGATCCCATAGATCCCGTAGTTTGTTATGTTTGGCACGCTCTCGATATGTACAGTCTGTTCCGCGACGGGTGACTTTAATTTCGATCAAATTTTATGACTCAATATTTTCGCGAAGGAGAAAATTTTCTCTCTCCAAAAAGAGTTATCTATCGCGAAAGTTTATAATTTTTTTTTAAGCTTTTAAATTTCAAATAAGTATTAAGGTTTCTTTCAATACATTCTCTTTTTTAAATTAAATAATTTTAATGCACCCTTCTTTCTTTTCATCAAGCTGTTTTCATATAAAAACATCGATTATATTTTAAAAATTACCATAGGTAATATATATTCAAGTGATAACAAGTTTGTTATATCGTTTGGATTTTTATTTCATTGAACGTTTCATGTAAAAAAAATCGAGAGTCTTCTCGATATATCGCCAGCGGAATAACAATCCATTAGCTAGGAATTTTCAATATTATATTTCATCATTGTAAACATACATCTACATGATATATAAATCTCTGCAGTGTTTTATCGTTTCCATCGTAGACGATGTAGTTTCATTCGATTATAATATTATGGTCATCGCGCTAAGCACACTTTTATCAGGAAACCGGCGCCGTGCTCGCAATTATCCCTAAATGGAACGCGAAATGTAGTGTTTCGCAATTTTGCGTTCGCGAATGACGGTGCCCCATTCGCCCGTCCATCGAAACGGTATAATACGTTGTCCCGGTCTAAATCACATATGCGCATTTATATAACTGGATTTCTAGGGGGACGTAGGCGGCACCGACTATCTGCCGAGGCTTTCTCGTCTGCGCGCAAAAAATTATGCGAGGGGAGGTGTAACCGATCTATTGTTCGTTCTGCGCTCTCTTTTCTTTTTTTTTTTTTTTTTATACTGCGCGTGGCGAAAATTTCGCGGTGAAAAGGCAATTTGCAGCAGAGTCGCAGTCGTAAATTGGGCGAGCTGAGAACGCCGGTAATGTCGGGGAGGGTCAATTGATTCACTCGACTGCGAGCTCCTTGTTAAAACTCAGTTCCACCGGAAAGCTTTTCTGTTCCTACAGAAACTTCAAGAAAAACTAACATTTTCGAATTTTCTCTCTTCAGAACGCCTTTCTTTAGAAATTATCTCAATTTCCTCGTTATACAAGCATCAATCACAGATGATTTAAGAATTTCTAAAAGAGCATTTTTTAATGAGCAATTACAGCACTTAAAAAACACGTAGAATCAATCTCTCCACATGCAAAAACATTATTTTTGGAATGAGTGTACCAAATGATTTATTTGGCTGCGCGATAAAAATAATTCACACAATGAGGACGACTGTAACATATAATACTCTTCATTGCAGATTCTACATGCAATTTGAAGCAAGGCTAAATTAGGTCCACAACTGACAAAATATGTAAAATTTAAATACAGTAAATTTACGGCTACATTTAAATTCGAGATGCATCCATAATTAATTATGGGTTTCTGGATTTATGCACTCCGAATTCTTTTTGCATATATCGTCGAGTTATCTCGCGATATCGTTCGGCCGACTCTCGCGAGACATCTCTATCGATTACGAGCTTTTGCGCTCTCTCCTCTTTAAAATACTGCATCAAATTTTCGTACCGTAGATGCCGCGAAAAAAAAACCTGATCTGTATATGACGGCAAAACAACACTGCTTTTACTGTTGTGTGTGCTTCGGCTATGTAATTTCGTCTGTGAAATTGCTTGTTCGTGGCGGAACCATTGATCTTCAAAAGAGACGACGTGGAATAATAGATGGAAACAGTTAAATCGTACGTTTTTTTACCCGGCTATATGCAGTGTAGTTCAGATTGAACGTTATGTGCTAAGATTTCGCGGAAAAATATCATACAAGCACAACAATCTCTTTCTCCGTTTTACGCATGGAGAAACGTGAAATAAAGTTATTTGACTAGACAATCATGAACGATCATAGGCGATCGTTTTGAGAAAATACTACAAGTTCAAAAATTATTTGTTAATTATTATTAAAAATGTTAAATTTTAATTAACCTGTAGTAGAATAAAATTAAAAAGATAATTACACATACCTATAGACATTACAGAAATAATCGATTATATTTATTGCATCTTATAAAGTACTTTGATCTTTTTATACGCAAAAGAACGATCAAATCCCATAATTGTCATGATCGCGAGTTTATTTACGTTTAAGTTAACTTAGATGCAAAATGATTCTGTCAACTTCGATCGGCATCATTAACGTCAGTCTCCGTCGCATCGTACCTTCCCCTTGAATCCCACGGACATTAATCGTGTTTGACGTAACATCCTATTTTCCTCTACCTCAAGATCCGGAAACAGGTTAACTAGATACCGCCAACTTTGCCACGGTGTCGTATCTCAAGGGGATAAAGTATGCCGCACGAGTACCACGATGTAGATCGCGATTCGCCACCTTTGGGGAATTATTTAGTAACGACCGTTGCACATTAGATCGCTGCAAATTATTACAATGAAATGAAGGTCATGCGAAAAAGTAATTTAAACGTCATCATCTCAGCCAGTATTCAATATCTTTAGTCTTTTTTAATAATAATGTAGTAAGCATCCAAATTCTTCTTTCGAGAGTTTTCGAGCAATTCACAATCGTGTAAAGATCCGAATTGTTCCAAATATTGTTCAAAACTAGTATTTCTCGGAAGTCTCGTGAGGTCTTAAAAGTTTGGCATGTTTGAAACTCTTGAGAGTGCTGAAAATATCTAGGAAACGTTTCATAAAAATTTATGTACGGAGATATGTTTGGAATTTGAGGTCTTAAAAATATAAAATTGTCATCTAAGTCTGCATATCAAAAATAGATAATAAATTAAAATAACAACAAAATAAAGTGTTATAGAGAAAAAATAATATCTTTTATACATACAAAAGTATTTTGTCGCTTTAAGGAACTTTGATAATAATTCCTACGTAACAATAAATACTTTGGACAAAATATTAATGGATAGAAAGTTTAATGAATGCGTTAATATCCATTTCGTCCCATAACACCCATGTCACAATTTATATTTTATGCAGTACCAACGGAATGTTTGTGAATTTCACACATTTCGCACCGTGGCAGATTTAGCATGAATAACATTCTCCCGTATTGCTTCCCTTTCAATTTTTTTTATTTACCGCGTGTTGTTGTTAACTGACAAACAGATTCCGACCGTATATTGATATACGGTCCGTATATTGATATAATTCGCGCGAACAAAGTGCCATTTATAAAATTGACATGTCGTGACAAGTGTTATCAAGAGATACACAGTGAGCCGGAAAACATGAATACAATCGAAAAAGGAATTTCTATGGCTCAAAATAAGTCGAAATGATAAAATAAATTTTTTTCGAATAAGACCTCATTTTCGAAAAAAAGAACTTTAAAAGTTAATCGAGTACGCGTACACTTAACTGATATTTCTATAGTCGACTTGGTTTGAGCCGTATAGGATCACCCTCTACAATTCTCTTGTGCTACATTTTCCGGCCTACCCTGGATATATATAAAGTAATCACTATGATATTCGTGTAGTTTTTAATGTTAAAAATAAACTAATACACGCTAGAAAAATATTTGCAAAACCGATATGTATTGATTAGATTTGAATACACATATTAACCCATTGAGTCCGAGGAGGCCCTTACACGCTTTTCTGTTTTAAACCTTTGTAACTTGCATACTAATTAAAATTTTAGACCGCAATTAATATTTAAAAGCAAAAAGAGTTGCTCTTTCCGAAAATCTAATCGATGATAAGGTGAGATATCTGAAATATATATATATATATATATATATATATATATATATATATATATATATATATATATAAAGGTTGAAAGTGGAAGTAAAAAAAATGATGTTTGCCTTTTTACTGATAAATATTCAACTAATAAATGATTTCGTCTACCTTTTTGAATAGAATAAATCAATATAATTATTATTAGAATGATTTGTACGAAAAATTCTACTCAAAAAGACATACAAAATTATTTATTAGTTGAATATTTATTAGATTAAAAGGTCATTTACTTTTTTACCTCTACTTTCAACCTTTATATCTTTTTACAAGGATTTGAAACGCACAGAAACTTCCTACATAGAACCTAATAAGTTAAGAAGGTATGTTATAATAATATGGATTTTAATATTACACACATCACGAGAAAGTTCTTATACAAATACATCTCTATTAAAACGCTTACTTTTCTAATTACTAAATATTGTATCGAATATTTGCAACTAATTTTCTTTCAAAAAGTTTGGGAAATTATATTTATTGATTACATGCATATATTTAAGCATTCAATATATATTTTTATTGCTATTCAATTCAGGTACTACTGCCAGTGATAATTTATTTTATTAAGTGCACAAATAATTATTATATCATTATATATTATTATATTATTTTTCCAATAAAATCTTAATATTTCGTCATCGTTTCCTTCCTTGGTAGTTTTTGCATTTCTTATCCTGATGCAGTTGTACTCGGGATCTCGTCATTTGCAATTGTTGTTGCACTTTCGGGTATTGTTGACGCATTTATATCTGCACTTCCGGATGATGTTGTTGTGATGGGCCTATTAGGAGGCCTATTAGGAGGTCCATTAGGGGGCCCATTAGGGGGCCCGTTAGGAGGCCCGTTAGGGGGCCTGTTAGGAGACCCGTTAGGGGGCCCATTAGGAGGTCTGTTAGGAGACCCGTTAGGGGAACCGTTAGGGGGCCCGTTAAGAGTTGGCCTAGGTCGGTCTAGGAACCGTAACCAACTCGAGATCCGGTCACTCGAGACACGGGTCGGTTCGAACCAGTCAAAATAACCCCAGTCAGATGGAATTGGGAATGGTATTAATTCCGATCGATGCTTTCGCTGATTATTAGGTGCAATGGGGATGCCTGGCCCTAACACACCATTTGAGCCGATGGACCAAGGTCTCTTTACGCAGAATAGAACGTCATTATTCTCCAGAAATTCATCAATAAGCGATCATAGTCGAATTAAGACTTACGTATCCCTGGGCCGTGGCGCACACCACGACGGCCAAGACCATGAACACCACTGTTATTTTCATCTTTCTATCTTGCGCTGCTAATGCTTGCACTGTTAATGCTTGCATCGCAGTGCACTAACGATATTTATACCGCGCCGCTGACTAACGATCTGTTTGTACGCGTCTGTTTTGCCACTTGCGTAGCCGTATTTTACTGTCAACTATATTTTATATATAATGAGAATAATTAACAATTTCACAATGCATCGATATGTTCCGCATTCTTTTGGGCATATGTTACTGATATGAAATAGCTTCCTAGAACTTAATGAGTTAAGAACGTACGTTATACACGGAAAAAAAATGATGTATCATAGCATCATTTTTTGTATCAACAGATCAGTGTTATTGAGATAAAATTTATTGATGCAACATCAATATTAATGAACAAAAAACATAATTAAATAATTGTTTTAATAATTTAAATATTTGGTCCAATAATATCCAATTGAATTAACTCTTTATGCTTGTGGCAGTCCGTGAGTCGACGTTTAATTGAAACAACTTCATTTTTTTTCCGTGTAATAATATGGATTTTAATATTACACAATATCACGAGAAAGTTCTTATAAAAATACATCTCTATTAAAACCGCTTACTTTTCTAATTACTGAATATTATATCGGATATTTGCAACTAGTTTTCTTTCAAAAAGTTTAGGAAATTATATTTATCCATTTATCCATATTTTCAAGTATTTGATATATTTTTATTGCTATTCAATTCAGCTACTACTCTCAGTGATAATTTATTTTATTAAATATAATAATTATATTATTTATGCTATAAAATCTTAATATTTTGTCATTATTTCCTTCCTGAATAGTTTTTGCATTTCTTATCCTTGTTGTGGTAACTGCATGTTGTCCCCGGGATCTCGTCATTTGCAATTGTTATCCACTTTATACACTTTCCCTTGATGCACTTATATCTGCACTTGCGGATGTTGCAATCTTCTTAGGGGTTGATCTTGGAATCGATTTGGGATGATCCGTTCTTTCTGATGATTCATCCGTGAATGGTCTATCTCTGAGTGGTCCATCCGTGAATCATTCATCCGTGAATCATTCATATCAGACCATTGATCTAATCCATTTTTTGGCTGATCACTAGATTCATTGGGGCTGTCCATTGACATGGGGGCGACGTACCAAAATACTTGTTCCTTTGAGCAAAATAGTATGTCGATCGTTATTCCCCAGAAATTCAACGATAAGCGATCATGTTCGAATTAAGACTTACGGATTCCTGGACCATGGCGCACACCACGATCGCCAAGACCATGAAGACCATTGTTATTTTCATGTTGCTATCTTGTGTTACCGTGTTTGCCAATGCTTGCACTGTTAATGCTTGGATTGCAGTGCAATAACGATATTTATTCGCGCTGCTGACTAACGATCTGTTTGTACGCATCTGTTTTGCCACTTGCGTAGCCTTATTCTACTGTCAACTCTATTGTGTATATAACAAGAATAATTAATAATTCTACAATGCATCAATATGTTCCACATTCTTTTGGGCATACGTCACTGATATGAAATTGCCATATGTGCATGCGGAAACGATGTCAGACAAGCGTATTTAAACAGATTCCGTTGATGAATTCCATAGAAAAAAATATATATATAACAGTCAATTAAAAAAAAATAGGAGAAAAGACAACACAATCATAATTATGCATTTTAAGTTTCCATTTTTCTTTTTAGATATATAAAATAATAAGGTGGCTAAATTGTTATTGGCACATTGTAAAATACTGCTAAAGTTTGTGTATAAATTAAATAAAGCATTGAATGTGTAAATATACCTACATAGAATAGTTATTTGTGTAACAAGTGCTGTAAGATAAAAATAACACGACCAATTTTCAACTTAACACACGTGTTACACACCCTATTTTATGTTGCAAATGCGTGGAAAGTGGTCTATCACGCACGCGTCGCGTGCGTAATGGGCCACTTTGCATGCACGTGTGACATAAAATTACTTAAAAAACTATAATATATAAAAAGAAATATATGACATAACAATATATTCGCATTTAATTTAATACGACTTATGAATGGAAATTAAGGTACTTCCTCGTATTTCACCATCTCCGATTAACTGTAACCTTCGATTGAACTCACTCTTCGTCTCTTTCTAAGAGGAATAGTTAGATTTATAGTATTATTTCAAACAATATAATCAAGGCAAAAGTAAAAATTTTCAACTTTCCAAAGCTGAATGAAAAGTATTGGAGTAGAAACTCAAAATCGATCTCTGCCTCTTGTCGAATTGTGGAATATAGCGTATCGTGTCGTTTTGTAACGTCTACATACCTCATACGAAGAAGACAGGCAGAAAATTTTTAGATTCTTCGAATTGACACGACTGCGTCTACGTTTAAATCTCCATGCTCGCTGTAGATCGAATATGTCGGCCGGCATTTCACGCGAGGAGGAGCATTCGACGAAGATACAACTCGTCCTTCACGATAAGCGCAAATGCTCCGCTTAAGCAACCCCCGACCGACCGAGTTTACGCGAGCACGCAGACTCGAGGGTAAATAACAATGAACGTTATTTGCTCTCACTGTCTCGGGGCTTGCTTCACACGAGCCGAGCTCGGAATCATTATCGCAGAAGTAAAGGGTGAAAAGCGACCACGGGTGTAAAGTCGATTTATATCTAAAGTATATACACCAGCACGTTGCAAACTCTATCGTTATCGTATCATCTGTGAGTCACTACTTTGCGAATTACGTGTAATATTCGTAATGAGATGCCATTTTGTCTTTTAATAACGCGATCTGTTTCGGTCATTATCCAAGAAAATTTAATTTTATGCGATTATCAATTTAGAAGTAAATAATTTTATTTGCTGCTCGACGTTTGCCTCACACAAACCGAATTCAAAATAATTATTATAGAGAAATAAAGCGATGTCAGGTATAAAGTTGATTTGTATCTAAAATATACATAATATATCAGCATTTCCTAACGCTATTGTTATCGTGTCATTCATGAATCATTATTTTATGAATTACGTATATTTGTAACAATATTTTGTCCCTTATTGACGCAATCTGTTCCGGCCATGTAAATCCAAATTTAATTTATTCCACCACGTAGATTCGGAAGGAAATAACAACGTAATTTGCTTTCACATTATCAACGCTTGTCTCACACAAACCGTATTCGAAATTATTATAGTAAAAGGGTTTTAGGTATAAAAGTTGATTTGCACCAAGTACTATGTCGTCACTTTTGAGGCTGTCATTATCGTGTCAAATGTTAAATCAATGTTTTATGAGTTACTATCTTGTAAAAATAATACTTTATCTCTGAAAAGAACAATGTATTCCGACTACTCCAAATAAATTCGGTCAAACTGATTCCGAATTTAAATCTGTAGTAATGCATTTAATTTTTTTTATTCTTGCATCGTATTGCGTTACAAAATATCTTCTGCCTATTTTCTATTTATGGTTTTGGCATATACATATACTGAAAAAATTTAAGTATTAATCTGTATTAGTTTATATAATATTTAACTTTAGAAAAAAAATACGAGGCCAAACGCTAAATTTAGAATGAGGGAAAAATAAAAATAAAAAATAGCACCCAATAAATATTATTAATTTTTCTCATCATAAGTATTCCATTAATTTAGCCCATTATTATTGCACACACGAATAACGTAAAGATCTTGCCTCAATCTTTATCGTTTATAAGACATAAAAATAGACAAATTAAATTTCATTTATTACAATCATATTTTATTTTATTCACTTTTTTACTTTTTACTATTTGTTTAAATAATAAACTTGAAAATTCAATCAATTGTAATATATATATGTATATGCATTGCACTAAAAAAAGATTGTCTGAATATTATCATTAATATATCTTCGTAGTGTTCTCAATTTTGTTTTCTGAAAATCTTATTCGCGCGTGCGAATAAAAGTGCTTGATAAAAAGTATAATAATAATTGTATTAAATACAAAGACAATTTTTCTTTAGCGAAAATAACTCTATTAATGTCACTTTTTGCCGAGTTTATTTCATCTGTAAAATATTTTCTATCGTTTCTTTCTTTATGCCTGCAAATTTCTCTTGTAAATTTCCTATGTCTGGTGTATCTCACCTCATAATTGCTCCGTCGTCGTCCAGAGTCTCAAGCTCTCTCTTTCTTCTCCTCTTGTTTCTTCATTGCATTCGCACAACATTCATTTGCGAAAACATGATTAATTACGATTGCACAAATTTTAATCATCAAGAATACGATAAATACACTGCACTATGCACGGCGCTTCCGACGTTAATCGCACACGACGCGCACTTTACTACGTCACGACGGAAATATAACAAAAAAAACAGTACGTTCCGCACGCGGCGACTGGCAGATAAACGTAGCGACAAAGGGTTTTCAATAAATCATCAATATATAAACGCTCAATTCACGATAATAAGTGAATATCAAATAATGAAATAAAATTAACTATCAATGCAAGCTAAAATGCAAGATTAATTTACGATAGTACTTGCTAATTAAACGCGACACTAGTCGACTCGGTGTTGACTTTCCAACCGTTAATAAGCGATAAATTCAAAAATAAATAATTGACGACTTTTCATCCTGCGACGCGACGCGACGTGACGCGACGCGATTGATAAAGTTCAACTAATGAACTAATTAAGGCGCGATAAACCGTCCAAAAATATAATACCGCAATTCAGCGTTGCGCAATACATTTCGAATGTATAAATCCTGCGAAAAGCATGTATTATTCATAACTCGATATATTGCTTTTCGTTACTTGAATTACTCGATCTCGCGATTTACGTATCACTCTGCGCTCTCAATCCGAGAATGGGGAACAAATTACATTCAAGTCGGTAAAAATTCGAAGTACGAGACATGAGATATGTTCCGATCCAAGCATCTCTGAACAAACAACCGTCGCTCAGTAAACAAATATCGTAAAACAATAATTTATAACTACTTTCGCGCTTGGAATTTTTACGTCAGAATGAATAAATCGCGCGAAATATCTATCTCCTCGATAAACAGTCGTTGTCGCCTAGATGCAAATTTTTAATCATCAAAATTAATTGCGCAGGATAGTAATCGCCAATTGTTCCTAGAAAATGGTCGCGAGAAATAATGCTCGCTTTTTAGTTAGACGATCCCTAATTCGTCAGATTTCAGGATAAAATTCTGTTCTTCTATAACTTTATAAGCCATATACGTATATATGTATTTCAATATATACTTTATCGTGTATATGTATATAGCTGTAATGATTCCTTAAAATGTGTTTCGTATTGCATAGTATACGAAATGGAATTCTGCCTCGAATTTTGCAACACAAATCGTTCGAGGAGATGAGAGCGACTCGTGTTACCTGCTCGCCCGACTACCGCGGCGCGAATGATAACACGGCAACCCGCAACCTTGTACAGGCACTGAGTTCGCCGCGATATACCTCCCCCCAAGGCCGCAACATCAACAAAATGCCATAGCCGATCGTTTTGTTGTTATTATGAAATATGTAACGTATATACCAATGAAACGGAATAACTGAATATTCTATCTTGCAATATATAATAGATAAATAAAGTAACAGAATAAAATCGGAACTCTGCCTCTCACATCTCAAATTAATTTCGACGAATTGTAAAGCAAACCTGGTGTTTATCTGAAGAGTAAAATATGTTATTCAGATGGAAAAAGTATTTGTATAAATTAATCGCTGTTATTTCTCGCTCGGCAAATTTTTATATTAGAGAAATGAAATTTCTCGAATATTTCTCTAATATTATAATGCAATTTTAATGAGTCAAGAATTTTTTCTATAATTTTAATAAAATAGGAGAATAAAATAAATTTGTCATAAAAATATGGTAATTTATTTTTTCTATTAATGAATAAAATTACACAATTTTATTCCCCTTGGAACAAAAAAATTTTAAATAATAATAATAAATTATAAAAAATATATAGGTATATATATGATTTATAAATATAAGTTATTTAGTAGATATGTTTTTTAATCATAATAAAGATGAACTTCATTCTTCAAATTTAAACAGAACATTAATTCAATAGTTTCTTTTAAATAAAATAATTAATCACTTAAATTTAAATATGTTTAAATTTAATTTATTAAAACAAGGATTAAATAATTTGCGCATAGTAATTAAAATTTACTATTAATAATCAACTTGTTAATCTCAGATTGTTATAACAGTTAGATATATTGTAGACGTACACTATGTACAGTATAAGAAACCAAAAAACAAAATTATTTCAAAAATTATTGTAAATTCGTCATTTTAAAGTTAACACATAGGAATATTTTCTAT